GGGGGGCGCGCGCGCGTACAAAACACACACACACACACACACACACACACCCTTCTCAGAAATCTGGGGAGCCCAGAGACAGGCCTCTGGGAGGTTAAGAGCACACAGCCACCTGACAGGCAGCTGTAGGCAGCCAGGTGTGGGGCCCTTGGCAAAAGGCCTCTGAGCATGAGTGACCTCAAAGCGTGGCGCTAGAGCCCAGGACTGGCTGGGCCTGGCAAGGTGCTGGCTGGAACTGGAGCAGGCCCTGGCCAATGCCTGGCTGGCCTCGGGGGATGAAGGACCTTGTCCCAGGCCAGGCAGGGCCCCGGAGGCTCTGTTCTGGGCCAGCCAGAAACAAAGGCTGCCACTGCTCTTAATGCCCAGCCTCCAGGGTCCAGAGCAGGGGCCACCAGTGCTGCTTGTCCTGGAGCTGCCACAGCAACCAGGACCCTTCCCACCCAGCCCAGTCCTCACAGCTGTCTCACTGGAGAGGGGAGTGGCAGTTCTAATAACCAACATTTTCTCGCTGAGAAACACCCTCCTAGGAGTTAGCACATTGACTCCTAATGACACGTGGGGAGGTGGGGATTTTAGTCTCCATTCTATAAGGGAGGAAACTGAAGTCACAGAAGTTAGGCACTGGTCAGGCGTGCAGTGCATGGCAATGTCCACATGCTTTCCCTTGTATTCTCTTATCACAGGTCTCAGCAGATAGGCTGGCCTGTTGTTTGGTGCCTGGTATACAGGCACAGAAACTGAGGCTAGGAAAGATGGAGAGCTGGCAAGTGTCTGTCCCCCAGGGAGGGCAGAAGAGAGATGCCCTTGAGGTTCTTTGGGACAGCCTCCAGGCAGAGGACCCACCGAGGCGCGGAGGAATGTCACTCACACTGCCCACGCCTCCGTTCCTTGAGTAAGTATTGAAAGAATCCTCTAAGCCAGGAAAGCACAGGAGTCTGTGCTGGAACAGTGGAGGCAGCGAGGCTGCCAAGGCCAGAAGTAGCTACTAGTACTGGCTTTGCTCAAGCCCAGCTTCTCACGCAGCTTGCCCTGCCTCTGCTGAAAGGAAATCGGGCAGACTTCATGGAGGAATCAGACTTGAACAAAGTCTTTAAAAAAGAGACAAAAAGGAAAGGCATTCCAAAGTCATGGTCTCTCCACTACGGCGAGATTTCCAGGCAGGTGATAAAGAAGCCAGGAGAGGGAGAAGTGCAAACCACAGATGAGACTGGGAACGGCCGAGAGACGGGTGGGGCCCCTGATTCAACACGAGAGAAGGGTTGCCTCTGCTCCGGGGGCACAAGGAAGCCGGTGAGGGCATGGCAGCCACCAGCGAGTTTGTGGCTGGAAGGGTGGGAGGAAGCATTGCCTGTGGCTTTCTGGGTGGGCAGGAGGCAAGTTGGTCGGCTAGAAGAGTGGGGTACCTGGACAGAGTGGGGGAAGTGGAAGGAGGCCTTAGAAGAATGGGGAGACAGCCGCCCAGGGTGGTGTAAGGATTGCGGAATAGAGCAGCGACCCCTGCTGAGGCCAGAGACCATGGGCTTGTCATGGCAGCGGTCTGCATGGCTGGGCGAGTGTCTCCAGCAGTGCTCAGCAGTGCAGATGGTAGGCAGAGGGTGTGAGCAGAATGAGAATGGAGAGATGCAGGTGTGTGGCGGGGTAGGGAGAAAAGAGAGCCAGGACAGGGGGGCACTAAAGTGAGATGCCAGGGCATCTGTCTGGAGAAAGTAGGGTCAAGCCAGGATGGCTGGGAGAACAGAAAGGGGGGGGGTACTGTGACTGAGATGGGGGAAGGTGGGTGGCCAGAGCCTGTGATCAGAGCTGGGATGTTTCACTGGAAGATTTCAGAGGGCCCAGTCCCAGGTGAGAGTAGGTATAGGACTAAGAACAGGCAGCTGAAAGGAAGCAGGTATGAAAGTCACCTGCCTCCAGGAGGTCAAGAAGCCGGTGAAGCCCTAGCTGGTTTGGCTGAATGGATAGAGCTTTGGCCTTTGGACTGAAGGGTCCCAGGTTTGATTCTGGTCAAGGGCACATGCCCAGGTTGCTGGCTCAATCCCCCGTGGGCAAGGGGCAGCCAATCAATGATTCTCTATCATCATTGATGTTTCTATCTCTCCCTCCCTCTCCCTTTCTCTCTGAAATCAATAAAAACATATTTTTTTAAAAAAAAAGAAAAGAAAAAGCTGGTGAAGCATAGTCAACCCAGTATCGGGGCCACCCACTCCTCCTACTTCTTCACCCCCCCTCAAACAGCCAATAAAAGCGCAGTCTTACAAGAAACAGAAGAAGGGAAGCTTTTATTCACTCATTCATTCGACAGTTATTTATTGAGCACCTACTATGATCAATCCCTGTGCAAGATACTGCATGTAGGGATGAGCAAAACTTGGCTCCTGCCCCCTCAGGGGCTCACCACCTCACTGGGGAGACCCATTAACACCATGGCAACACCCTATGATGACTGTAGTGCACAAAAATGTCCAGGTGTGGTGGGAACACACAGAGGGACTTGCCTAAGAAAGGAGCAGGTGACATTGAAGCTGAGCCGTAGGGATGGTATAGGGGTTAGCCAAGCAGGGTATAGGGGTTACCCAAGCAGGGTATAGGGGTTACCCAAGAAGAGAGAGCATCTTCCAAGGAGAGACCAGCTCTGAGTGTTACAGAACCACTGGCCATTTGATGAGGCCAGAGGGTAAAGTGTGAGGCAAGGAGTGGAGAGAAGTGAGGTAGGAGGAGCAGGAGCCATGGAGGCCATGCACGTACGTGCATGCATGGAGCTCACAGAGGGGGTGAAAGCTTTGAAGGGATTTCAGCAGAGGAGCAGCAGGATCAGATTTGCATTTTAGAAAGATCACTCGGGCTGCAGTGTGGATAATTGATTGGAGCAGAGCAAGGGAGCAGACAGAGAGAACGGTTAAAGGCTGCAGGGCAGCAGGGGTGCAAGCAGAGAGCACAGTCAAGAAACATGTAGGGGCTCAAAAGCAGCAGGACTGAGGCCTTTAGTGGATGAGGCAGGAGGGGGATAAGGGTCAGGATGCTTCCCTCGTGCCTCCAACTGAGCGGGAGGAGACAGGAGGGGTGCGTTTGGGGGATGGGAGAGAGGAGAACCTCATTCTGAGAAAGGTTTCATTTGAGGGGCCTGAGGACAAGCAGGGGCATCCACGGGGCAGGCAGATGTGTCCAGGGGCGAGGTCCTGGCACCCAGAGGTGGTTAAGAGGTGAAGACAGGATTATTATAGCAGCTCAGCAGATTCTTCTTAGGGAGGGATATCTCTGTTTAGGCAAACACCTTGAAATACTGCCAAGGATAGAAGGGCAGAGCCTAGGGCATGGGTGACTTAGGGCCGGCATAGCCACAGAAATGGCTCAGCTGCCCTGTGTGAGACATAAGAGGTATTGTTTTGTCCCCTGAGAAGGAGAGCAGAGAAATGGGGGGGGGGGGTCTGAGGAATGAGAGGGAGGGAGGGAAGCAGAAAGAGACAGGGAAGTGGGTGACACGAGTGGAAATTTCCACGGGCAAGCAGCAGGGTGCCGACTGCCGAGTATGTCACCTGATTAGCTGTGGAATAACCCGTCTTCCCTCTGCCCCTCTGCGTCCCTGCAGGCCACGTCCTTAGGAAACTATTTACAGCTGCTTTCTGTGAGTTGGGTTTTAGGTGGGGATGGAGAGAGCTTCATTTCACATCTGGATTTATGGGTACAGGTAGTGTGAGCCCATCTGGAGGCAGAGGGGCTAGGAGAACAGGAGCTCCCCTTTCCTCCCCGTCCCCCCGAATGCACAGGACCCTCTGGGGCAGGCCTTGGGCGTGGGAATGGAGAGATCTCGCTCTATCCACGCTGACATCAGGGATGTGAGGCCCTGGAGTCCCAGCACCTGTGTCCTCAGGCTGGGCTCTGCCCACAGCACGTTAGGCCTGACCAGCTTGGAAACCTCCCTGAAGGTTCCAGATCAGCGCCCCGAGACCACTCCTCCCCCAGCTGTAAGGTGAGCTCAGGGTGGACAGGCATGTGAGCGCCGCCCCACACCTCCCACCCACCCAGACACACATAACCCCGCCAGCTTGGTCCCTGCCAGTCCGCCCAGCACCGTTCTGGGCGGCAGTGCAGCGGAGCTACAGGTGGGCCAGCGAAGCCTCCGCACAGTGAGACCCCAGAGCAGGCCCAGACGGGAGACCAGAGGCAAACAGAGAGGCTCTGGAGCAGAGGGGGCGGCCGCCCACACTCAGGACCTGCCCTCGATGGAGCCAGGAGGGTGCAGCTTGGCCCGGAGGCTGGGGTGCCGGCTCTGGATGGCCATCAGCAAGGCGCTGTTCGCCGAGTTCCTGGCCACGGGGCTGTACGTGTTCTTCGGCGTGGGCTCGGCCATGCGCTGGCCCTCGGCGCTTCCCTCTGTGCTGCAGATAGCCATCACCTTCAACCTGGCCACGGCCATGGTGGTGCAGGTGACCTGGAAGGCCAGTGGGGCTCACGTCAACCCCGCCGTGACACTGGCCTTCCTCGTGGGCTCCCAGATCTCCCTGCCCCGCGCTGTGGCCTATGTGGCTGCCCAGCTGGCAGGGGCCATTGTGGGGGCTGCTCTGCTCTACAGGGTCACCCCAGGAGACATCCGAGAGACCCTCGGGGTCAACGTGGTAGGTGCAGGGAGGGGCACCTGCAGGGCCAGGAGGGTGGCGGGCCAGGCAGAGGAGAGGGGCAGGGAGGTACCGCTCCGGCACCTGCTTCACACTTGCTGTGCTGGCCCCGGGACCCAGGGAATCAGACTGGTGTGGCTTTAGAGCAGACAGAGCAGGGATGGGGTCGTGGATTGAGGAACAGGTGGGAGCAGCCACACGAAGGGGCAGGAGTCGGAGAAGGACCAGGCATTCAAGAGTTGGGGTAGCCAGGGGGGGCTGGGGCTGTGGGTGACGGCAGGAACCCTGCATGCACTTCATCTCCCTCCCCACGTTCCCCCCGGCACCCTAAGGCCTGTTTCACCCACCCCCAACCAGATTCCCCTAGTCATCTCTGTTCCACCTACTTCCCAATCTCCTCCTTCCACTCCCACCCAGGTCTCCTCCCAATCAGCTCGCAAACACGCACCCCAGCTTCTCCGTGCCTCCTCCTTCCCACCAGTCCTGAGCCCAGCCACCCCTCTAAATCACTGGCCCCAACCAACCTCTGGGGTGGGAAGGGTGACGCTACTTCTGCAGGGAGCAAGTGGCCAGGGCTGACCCCAACCCCCTGCACAGTCCTAAGTCCTGGCCCTGGCAGTGGTGAGATGTGACACAGGAAATGGGGACTCCAGGGTAACCCTCTCACCCAGGTCCAGAGCAGAGTCTCGGCGGGCCAGGCGGTGGCGGTGGAGCTGGTTCTGACCCTGCAGCTGGTGCTCTGTGTCTTTGCTTCCACCGACAGTCGGCAGACGTCGGCTTCCCCGGCCGCCATGATCGGGACCTCCGTGGCCTTGGGCCACCTCATCGGGGTAAGGGGCAGAGGGGCTGCGGAGGCCAAGGGTGGAGCCGGGTCTGGACCACGGCAGCGGGGACTGTCCCCTCCCGGGCCTGCCTCAAGCCTCTTCACACCCTGAACCCACAATCACCCCCCAGGTCTACTACACCGGCTGTTCCATGAACCCGGCCCGCTCCTTCGGTCCTGCTGTCATCGTTGGCAAGTTCGAAGTCCACTGGGTGAGACCCTCTGCTGGCAGCCATGGGTGGGGGAGTGAGGGCCCGCCAGGGGCAGGCAGACAAGTCTCCCTGCCACAGACCATGTTGACCCCTGATGGAGGTTTCCCTGAGCTCAGACCGGGGCTTGAGCTCAGACCGGGGCTTGTACTTCCTTTCTTTCCAGCTTCAACAGCCCACGGTACCCAGTGGACTGGCTAGAAATGGGCCAGGGCGGGCACCGCAGCCTCAAGTCCTGGCTGTTTCCTTATTCACTTTCTCCAGCTGGACCAATTTCCAAACACACACACACACCAGCAAAGATAGGAACAGCACTAGCCAGGGCTCCGGCTGGCACAGGGGAGGTGAGAGCAGGGAGAAGGGAGTGGTGAGGAGCCTGGGCCGCCCGTGGGAGGCACGATCCCCTCCCCGCGGGCGTCTGGACAGGACTCCTGCTTCTCAAATCTGCCACCTTTTAGGCAGCTCGCGGGCTCCTGGGAGACCAAGTCAGCACTGGGGGAGCAGGCAGGGGTCCCAAAGCCACCCTATGATCCCGATGGCTCACAAGCCGGTGCCCACTCCTCTCTGCCTCTGCAGATCTTCTGGGTGGGACCCCTGACAGGGGCTGTCCTGGCATCGCTCATCTACAACTTTATCCTGTTCCCTGACACCAAGACCCTGGCCCAGCGGCTGGCCATCCTCACAGGCACCTCGGAGATGGAGAAAGTGGAAATGGTGGAGCCCCAGAAAAATGAACCCCAGTCCAAGCCAGGGGACACCGAAATGGAGGATGTGGGTCAGATAGCATAGAACGTGGCCCTTGCCGCAGGCTTTTGAGAGGCCTGTGCGTGGGCAGATGCCTCGTGTGGCCGGATTTCAGGTTTTCCGAGGAAAGGGGGGTGTTTAAGGGTGTGTAGGGAGGCTTGGCCTCTTGTCCTAACAGGTTGGGCAGGGGATACCAACCCCACTCCCAGGCATACATTTCTAGATAGAATTCGGGGAGCAAATCTGTTCCGCTTCCTCCTCCTCCATCTCTAATGGAACAGAGCAGAGGGAGGCAGGGGGATTCACACCAGGGCTCCCGGCTGGTACAGGGGAGGCGACTCCAGATCCCCAGGTCTTGGGGAGAACAGGGGAATTAGAGCCCAGAGAGTCGGTCTGCTTAAAGACTGAGGGCTAAAGGGACCTCAGGGGACCCCAACCTCTTACCCCGCCCTTAGGGAGGAGAGGCCAGACTTCCCAGAAGACACAGGGCTCCTCAGAGGGATCACTGCCCTTCAGTGTGGTTTGAGGGGGCTATGGCTCCCCCCTCAGACTGGGGGCTTCTTGAGGACAGAGATAACCCTCCCAATAGATCTTCATTCCTCACTCGCCCCAAATGCTCAGGAGAGAACCCCACTCCTGGGAAGAGCTGACACAGAGAGGAAGCTTTTCTCGGGTTAGCAGAGGGGCAGGATACAGGCAAGGAAGGTTTGAGCCGATGGGCCTTTTCCAGGGCAAGCTCTTCCGGGTGTTTTCCTGCTTCCCACCCCTGTCCCATTGACGGGGACAATTCTGAGAGGGGATGACTCCAGCCCAGCCCAGCCCTCGGTCCATGTCCTGGGCACAGAAGCTGTCTCCAGCCTCATTCTCAAATCTACCAGGACCCCCAAAAGCTGTTGAATAAGGCCCAAGGATGGTAGGAACGATGCAGGCAACCAAGATTTTCAGTTCAGTGCCTCTAAGGACGACCGGAGTCTCAACTGGTTTGTTAGCATTTACAAGCTGCTGTAAACCGATTCTGCCCATGACCTGGGTTCCTGCCTGGACCTCAGCTTCCCCAGCTACTGGATGGGCACAGGCCTCCCCTAGAGACTGCTGTGAAAACAAGTAAGAAATTGGAAAATGTTTTTGGAAGTAAAAATGTTAGAAAAACAAAGCCAATAAATGATGATTGTTGTTGCTATTACTGTAATTATTGGGTTTGAATACAATTGCTGTTGATAATGGGAGGGAAGAAGGGAGAAAGGGAGATGATTGAGAGAAAAAGAGTACGTTTTTCTCATTTCATTTGCTCCCATCATGGGAGCCCTGCCTCCTTCTCTGCTGAGTCTACTGACCTGGGAGCTTTGTGAGTGTGTGTGGGGTGAGTTTCTGTGGAGCTTTGCGAGGGGGCGGGGGTGCTGGGGGAGGGACCCTGGAATGAAGAGACAAGCCAATAAAAGTTAGTTCTTCTCATCTCTATGGCGCCCATCACCATGGTATTCTGAGATGCAGCAACCAAATCCATAAAATAGATAGGCCTTTCCCTTTGGATAGGTCTCCAAAGGGGCTGGGGTGGGGGAGGGGCTGCCAGTCTTCCAAGGGCTGGGTGACAGGGCCGGCCTGTGACCAGTGCCAGAACAGTCCCCAGTACTCGTGGCCACAGCAGCCGTGCTCAGTGTCCTGTGATACTGTCAGTGCAGAGTACTGCTCACATCTCCCCAAGCTGGGCTGCACTCATCCATCTTCACAAAAGCGCCCAGGGCTTCTTGTGCCTTTATGAGCAGGGATGGCTGGGCCCGTGTGTGTGTGTGTGTGTGTGTAGGATGTGATTGACTTGCAAAAGGTGTGTGTGTGTGTGTAGGATGTGATTGACTTGCTAAAGGTCACTTGGCTTAGTACCACAGCCCCCTAAGGTCTCCCTAGCTCCCAGCTTAGAATTTTCCAAAATAGTGCTCCAGGGGGGCTCACACAAGCTGCAGGCCCAGGATGGAAGGAAGCAGGAACTAGAAGGTTGAAGAGGGCAGGGGGTGGAGCTCCTGCAGCAGGCCCTTAGGCTCTTAGACAAATTATCTCCACATCCCCAGAGCCCAGCACACACAGGTGCTCAATAAATGTCTGATGAATGAATGACTGAGGCTGGGCAGCTGGGAGGGAGAGGAGGTCGTGATTGATCAAGAGGAGAATTCAGGAGTCACAGCTCCACATGAGCCAAGATGACAGCAGCCGGGAGCCTGCACTTGCCGGCAGGGGTAGCTGGAAGAGGGTGCAGTCACATTTGAGTCCCACCCTTACTGCAGAGCCAACTGTGTAACCTCTGTCCCAGGAACTTTGGACCAAAAGGGTAAGCAAGGGTGATTGCCAGAGGAGAAAGCTGGGGGCTACTTTCACAAATAGCTCTGTGAGGCTACGCTAGAGCACAGACCAGCTTCCTGAGAAGCGAGGAACTAGGTTACAACCTGAAGAGCATCCCGAGTTAGACAGGAGTGAGTAACAAAGGTGAGCTTCTCCTTCTCAGCAGCCCTTTAATAGGACAGCCAGCCATCTGTTTGGCCGCGGGAAGGGCTGGCCTTCAGGGAGCCGAATCTCAGCGGGTCCAGCCAGGGGCAGTGGGCTCCACGGTCACAGCCCCCGGCCTCGGGTGGGAGTGGGGAGCACAGGGAGGACAGAGACCCAGCCAAGCAGACCCTTGGCGCACACTCCCTTCCTCCTGTTTGTCAGGGGAAGTTTTTAATTAATGGTGTGTAATCTGATCTGGCCCTTCTCCCTGCTGAGCACTGCTTTCAATCAGCAGAGCCATCTGCAATTGCAATTCATAATTCTCCCCAAAGGGAGGGGGACTCCGGACGGGTGCCTTGGTGATTAATACAATTAGCCTTTTATGTTGATGATTGTCTTAGCAGGAGCAGATGATGCCGGCACAGAGCCTAGGCTGTCGCTTCCCCATTGGTTGGCAGGAAGCCCCTCTCCGCTTCCCACCCCACTGCTCCCTCGGGTGTAAAGAGGACAGGTCTCATCTGGAGCCACGCTGTGGACAGGGGAGGGCCCACTGAGGGGCCAGGTTCTGGGGCACATGTGGGCCCCTTGGACTGAGGGAAGAGGAGGAGCAAGGTGATGATTCAGAGACGTACTTTCCAAGGAAAATCATTTTGACCTAAGGGATTCTGTACCCCAAGGTTAAAAGAAAAGAACTACTTAAGGTGAACTATAGGTTGAAAGGGCCGAGTTTAAATACGGGCTCAGGCACTTAGAGCTGTGTGCACTTGAGCACGTTACTTCAGGATCCGGAGCCTCACTTTCCTCACCTGGAAAATGGAGTTTGCTCCTAAGGGGCTGGAGGAACTACATGGGGTAAACGTGTCCCGCACCGTGCCTAGTGCAATCAGTGGTAGCGGGTTTTACCCATCACAGTAGACTGCCATTCCCTCTGCCAATGAGTCTGGCTGTTTCTCCTGTGGTTTCTAACGCAGCCCAGCTATCAGTCAGGAAGGGATCCTTCCTCCCCATAATCCAGGCTTAGCTTGAGCAAAGGAGAGAGTCTGTAAGTATGAGTGTCAGGGGAGAAGGATCCAGAGGAAAGAGGAGTCAAGAATCAAACCCGAGAAAGAAATAGGACTCCTTGGAACAGAGACGTGGAGCACTGCAGTGATGGCAGCTGGGAGCTGGTTTGGGGGAGATTCAGGGAACGGGGGTAAGGAGGCTGGGGGGGCGGTAGAAAGGGGTGAAAAGAAGCAGAGCTTGGAGCATCTGGGATTTCATATGGCAGCTAAGTAAACAAAAAAGGAGCAGTCACGAGAGCTGAGGGTTTAAGAGGCAGCACAGATCAAAATCTGATCTCTGATCTATAATGAGGTCAAGTGATCTGGAACAAGCTGACTGGGGTTTTTGTTTATGGTTTTTTTTTAAAAGAATAGTTTATTAATTTTTAGAGAGAAAAAGAAAGATCGATGTGAGAGCATATGGACTGGCTGCCTCCTGCACATCCCCTACCAGGGATCAAGCAAGCAACCCAGGCATGTGCCTGACCAAGAATTGAACTGGCAACCTTTCAGCGCACAGGACAACGCCCAGCCAATTGAGCCACACTGGCCAGGGCCTGACTGGGGTTTTGATGGGAGACTCTGCTGGGTCAGGAGAGGGGATCACCCCAGTGTCCCTGAGCCCCAGCGCTGTTCTCCAAGATCTGAAGCAGCGTGAGAAGAGTGCTGCTTATCACACGAGAGATTAACCTGCAGCCAGTATCAGGCCTGGCAATGTCATGGAGAAGAGAGAGGGAAGGAGGGAGGGGTGACGTGAAGGGCTAATCAAGATGAAGCATCAGGCCAAGTTGTGGCCACTCTGGCAGCTGGGGCAGGGGGTCCACACAGTCAAGATCTGTAATCATGTCTCAGGGAGGGGCAGCTTGGTTCGTGAAGGGCAATTGAGGGTGGGGAGCAGAACGGCACTAATTAATAGGCAGCAGTCGATGGGCAGAAAAGGGGGAAATGAAAAACTGTTTCAGAGCTCTGATGAAGTCAGATAAAGGGGCAGTTGTTTCGAGAGCCGATGGAGGAGGCCAGAGAGGCAGGGACCAACAACTACACCTG